TATTATATTTTGAGATATTTACCAATAAATTTCATCTCACAAACAAGTATTCCAATTAGTCCCAAGTTTTTTCTATTAATCTGTTAAGTCCTATTAGTGGATAGTTTCTTTCTGTATGGTCCTATTTTTTATTTTGGTAGTATTTTGGTGGACAGTACATACCTCTTTTATTAATGTGACAAGTATGATGTGATACTCCAATGTGACAGGTATTAATGTGACACTCAAAAAAAATTAAAAAAACCTTAGTGTACTTTTTTTTAAATATTATAACATGGCGGGTATGATGTGACATTCAAAAACTTTTACTTTAAAAAAAATAAAAACTCTTCACTGCACTTTTCCCTAATGTGACAACGTGACAGATATGTGACACTTAAAAAAAAAATAAAAACTCTTTAATTGTACTTTTTCCTAATGTGACAACGTGACAGATATGATGTGACACTTCAAAAAAAATAAAAATTCTTTAGTGTACTTTTTCCTAATGCGACAACATGACAGATATGATGTGACACTTCAAAAAAAATAAAAACTCTTTAGTGTACTTTTCTCAAACGTGACAACGTGGCGGGTATGATGTGACACTCTAAAAAAAATTAAAAACTCCTTAATGTGCTTTTCCTAAACGTGACTTGTGATACTCCAACGTGGCGGGTATGATGTAGCACTCGAAAAAAAATAAAAACTCTTTAGTGTAATTTTTCCAAATGTGACACTCTAACGTGACAGATATGATGTGATACTAAAAAACTATTTAGTATACTTTCTCTAAATGTGACACTCAAATATAATGGGCAAATGAGTCATGAGTCATTACACATCTAAAATGACTAAATGGATCACAAGAAAAAATATGGGACTATATGGATTATAAGTCCAAAATATGAGACTTATTGATCAATCTCCCTTATATTTTACATTATATATGATGAGGATATAATGTCCCACATCGCCCGAGAGAGACTCTCACTTCCACCTTATAAGCGTGCTGGCCCCCTCCACCTTGGATGAGGCATTTTTCCTCAAGGAGAAACAAAACTGTGAGAGGGGGAGGGGGAACGACAAGATCCGCCCCTCAACAACAATGTCCCACATCGCCATGAGGGAGGAACGACAAGATCTGTCTCTCAACCCCAAAGCGGACAAGTACATGAGAGGACCCCTGCAGATATTGTCTGGGGAACGACAAGATCCGTCCCTCAACAACAATGTCCCACATCACCATGAGGGAGGAACGACAAGATCTGTCTCTCAACCCCAAAGCGGACAAGTACATGAGTGGACCCCTGCAGATATTGTCTGTTTTGGGGGTTAAGTGACGGATCTTGTCGTCCTCCCTTTACGATTTTGTTCCTCCTCAGGAGAAAATGTCTCATGCAAGGTGGAAAGGACCAGTACGCTTATATGGTGGAAGTGGGAGTCCCTCCTAGGTGATGTGGGATATTGTACTCATCAATATATATTCTTATTTGATGGGACTTAAGGTTTGATTTGGTTAGTTGGTTGGTTAGTTAGTTAGATTTTACATTATATATATGATGATCGAGATGAGCTTATTTAAACTTAAATTTGACATGACATACATAGTAAAAAAAATGATCAAATGAGTTGTAAATGAATTCAACTCAAATTATTCACAAACAACTCATCAATTTGTTTGCAGCCTAACGGAAAGTCGAAATTGGAGTGCTTCAACTTTTCATTTTTTATTTTCTAAGGCATGCTATACTGGAGTAAGCTTTTCCTTTCTTGCCATGGAAGATATTGATAGAGGACCACTATAAAACACTCAAATTCATGCCTAATTCAATCATAGTCCCCACCAAAATTTATATCTGCATAGCTAAGGGTGGGCAATGTGTGCCATCCCATTAACCACCTTCTTCACACCTACCCTTGTCTCCAAAGCTAATATTAATATATTGGTATTATTTGGTGCAGTTTATATGAATTGTTTATAATTTATTTTATTTTGAGGGTTTATGTTAAATTGTTTACAACTTTTGTTTATAGATTAATAGGTGGAAATTACTTAAATAAGTTGATTATCTAGAAGCTTAAAGAGGAGTGCTTTTGACATCTGGTTTCTTATTATTAACTTTTAATTTCAATAAACTGTACTAAATAAACCTCATGATTGAATGCTAAAACTAGTTTTAGGATAAATTACACTTTATACCCTTGCATTTGAAATCAAATTATACTTTGGTATTTCATATTTCAATTACAAATTCGCAACGCATAACTACTTGTACTTGCAGTTAAGTTGCAGTGTGACATTTCTATTGGTTTGATGTTAAATTGTCTAGCATAAATTGCCACAGGCATTTTTAAGTGCAAAAAATTAATTTTTTTTCTTCTAATTCTATATTTTTCTCTCTCTAATGTATTTCTAACTCACCACCACCATAGATCACCCGTTCCACGGTGAGATTAGAAAATAAAGTAGAGGGGGAATATTGTGAAAAAAATATAAAAGAAATTACAAAAAAAAAGAAGAGAGAATTATATTTTTGCCCTCTATTTCATGTAAGGTTCGTGTGAAAATTTTATATTGAGCAATTTAACACTAAACAAATAGATATGTCACATTACAACTTGGCTAAAAGTATTAAGATTGACTATTACAAATATACAATTAAAAAATGAGGGACCAAAATAAAATTTGATATAAAGTGCAGGATATAAAGTGTAATTTATTCAAAGTTTTAATCAACTTAAGCATCTAAAAAAATATTTGTTTTTTAAAAGAGAATTTTAACCAACTTTGATAATTTCCTTGGTTGGTTAAACTGTTTAGTTAGAAAATCAAACTTCATACCAATAATGGTCTGTTTGGTGCAACATAAATTCACCAACAATCCTTTTTTTTCCTTCAACTTTTTTCAGGATACAACCCAAGTTCGGCACAAAGTTGGCAGAGATTATCAGAAAATAGTAAATAAATAAATATTAGGTGAGTTCACTTCAATACTTTAAACTATTGAATTTGGAATATAAAAGCTATACATCGTGAAGGTCTGCAGAGCACGGTAGTTAGCATCATGTAACTGTCTCGTAAACGTCACGGCTCTGACCAAAAGAGTTATCATCCTTTAAAAACTAAAAAATTAAGGATACTTATTTATAAGTTTTTTTTTAAGGCATTTATGGTACGTTAAGTTTTGTATAATTTTTTATAAAGTCTTAAATTTTATTTAGATATGAATGTATTCTATAAGATTTTATATAAACGTAACGTGACGTGACACTTACATAAACGTAACGTAACATGACACCTACATAAACATAACGTAACGTGACACTAAACGTATAAAAAATAAGAAAAATATGTTATTTATATATTTAAATAATAGCTAAATTTATTTATATGTAAATAATAACTAACTATAGATAACACATTTACCAGTAAATATTATTATTTTGGTAAGATATTAATTTTTTTTAGTATGTTTATATGTATTATATATATATGGGTGTTTTGAGAGTTGGTTAAAAGTTGATTTTTTATCTTTTTGTGGATAAAAAATGTGAGAGGTGATATGATCCAAAATGAGTTAAAAGTTAAAAGCTAGTTCATACGCAAGTATGAATTTGTAATTTTTTTGGTTCATTAAAATTCGTAAACAAGTTTGAGCTCAAGTTAAGCCTAAGCTAACTTTTTAATAAATAAATCTAAACATACTAAAACTCAACTCGACTTGGTTCGTTTGTAACTCTAATTACTATATCACATACAAGAGATGGGCAATTTTATCCTCACTAGAGGAGAGAATTGGCATGGCTCATTTAGGGTTCGTTTGGGAAGTGGGTTGACTTTTTAATTTTTTTAGCTATTTTAGCCTAAGGTTAAAAAGCCTAATTTGAGAAGGATTTTTGATTTTTTTGAATTTTTTTTAAAGAAATAATGTAATGATTATAGGTTAGATGCGATATTTTATCTTATTAAATTAAAAAATTTATTTTATTTTTTATAATTAAAATAACCAAAAAAAACCTGAGTTTTAACTTTTCAAACGAAGCCTAGTTTCTCTACGTAAAATCAGTCACTCGATGCAACTTTTTAGCGGCTCCCCTTCCCCACTTCTTGTGAGTATGTTAGATATATGCATATATTTGAATCCTCACAAAAATAACAATAAAAAATATACATATATACTCCCTCCGTCCCAAAATAATGGTCCCTTTTGGGGAATCCAACTTTTTTTGGTAGTACAATTATTGTACTTTTAAAAAGTTGGTTTTCAAAAATTACCCTTTGATAGTACACTTTTTTGAGAATATCAATGTCATAATTGTACTTTTTATATTATTTATGAATTTAAAAGAAGGGCAAAATGGAAAATTTATATTATTTTTGTACTTGATTTTTGAAGAGGGACTAATATTTTGGGACAATGAAAAATGGAATAAGGGACTAATATTATGGGACGGAGGGAGTAGTATGCTATATTTAAATACTAATGGAAGAGATATATCATATTGTGGTGGAAATTCGAATCTATCTGGCAATATAAAGTAATCCTATAAAATATATATATATATATGTATAGGTTTAAATTATTATTTTAGGATGTGATGTTTTCTAGGAGATGGTTTAGAATAAATTTAATGTTTTAAATCCTATTCTATATGGAGTTCAAAAAAAAAAAAAAATCCTATTTTATTTATTATTTTCTATTCATAGTTTTAATTATTATTTTATTGAGTACAATACAAAAATACCCTTCTAGATTTGATGAAATACCCAAATAAATAAATAAATAACTTCTATAATTTCAAAATTTACAAAAATAAATAAATAAAAATTCCATGAGCTGATTTTTATATAATCAATTTTCAATATTTAAGTTCAAAAAATGTTATCATATGTAGTTAAAAGACTAAAATAGCCTTGAAAATACAGACAAAAAGGTTAGAAATCAAAATATAGTTGAACCTTAGCATCCATCCATCCATCCAAAGCTAAGAAATACTATAAACTCAAAAATCTCACTCCAAATTTTATTCAAGAATACAAATTTATGATTCATATTCATTCCATATTTGAACCCTACATTACACTAATTCAATTTATACCACACAAATACATTATGCATAAAAATCTAGGTCAATTTTTCTAGGCCAATAGAATTTTTTATCCAAAGCTACATTAGCATTTTTAGTGACATTTTCTAAATTTTGACATTGAGTGCTGTTTTACTTTTATCCTAATTTTAACGAATGTTTAACGATATATGGTTAAATGTGATTTGACATCAAACCTTAGAATTTTTTTTCTTTTTGTATAATTTTTGAAATAAGGAAATTTTGTATTTTCATCAAAACGTGTGTTCTTTTTTTTCTTTTTTCTTTTTAATTTGCTTTATTTTATTCTTGCAAATATATATATGGACTTGAGGATGAAAACAAACTCAACTTTGGTAACTCATATGTGGCAAGTGGCAACTTTAACTTTTTCTTGACAATTAAAGGTGGGTGGGCTAATATCTCTAAGGGAAGGGGCATTGAATATTCCTTCCCACTTTGAACAACTCTCTTTAAGCATTGGATGCTCACTCTTTTGGACACTCCATGCCTTGAAAAGACTCCCAAAGCCCACAACCAGCCTATAAGAAAGAAAGTAAAAGCATTGTAAGTTTACATCATACTCATTAAAGTAATGTAAGATTATGTTTGTGCAATCTCTACTTTAATGTATACTTGAATGAATTATTATTATTATGAGTTGGAAAACTTGGGCCAAAGCTTACCCCACAAATTAAAGAGAGATTGTACAAGTATGCTAATACTTGACATTTACTACCCTTTGATGTTTCAATCACAAATAACAAGGTAAATGAAAATGATATTTGGTTTTATTAGCTGTGTAAAGTAAGTTTAGATAATGAATATTATTTGAGTATGTAAGACCCACCACTTTACAAAATAATAGTGGGACTATTTATTTTCTAATTAGTATGGTGAATCGTGTATATATATATACATGATGTTGGGTCGTTGGTCTCTGTATTTTAATTTTTGTGTTATTTTTGTCCCTATAATTTAAATTAGCTCAATTTTGACCTTCAATTTATAATTTTATCTTAGTTTAGTCCAATTAATAGCAATTGTTAGCATTTTCTAATGAAAAATGCACAAATAAGTGGCATGCATCATCATTTTAAGGGTAAAATTGTAAATTTACACAACTAATGAGTTAACTTCATCTAACTCAATGATTATTTTTGTCAAAACTCTAAGTATTATCAATTGAACCAAATTGATACAAAATCTAAAATTAAAGGCCAATATTGAGTCAATTGAAAGTGTAGGAATCAAAATGATATAAGAGACAAAATGTAAGAACTACTAATATAATATGTCCCATGATGTTTGTTGTGTAATCCATACAGTAAGTCCAAAAAATGCGACAATTATCTGGTCAATATATCAATCCTCGAAGGTAAAACATCTAGAAAATAGTGAGGACCATTACTGTATGGTTGGTCCTATATACATATGCATATACATATAGTTTCTGTTGAGTGAATTTAATAGAAGGTGAAAAAACTGTTTGTATAGGATTCACTTGTACTGTTTTTGAATTTTGAATTTATAAATAGATTTATGTAGGAAAACAAAAAGAAGAAGAAAAATTTATTTCATTCGCTCTTCTTTTTTGCTTTACAAATTTAAGATTCAAAACACGATCTTAAACAGTAAAAAAATTAGAAAAATTCATCTAAGTGATATACAGCAAACTCGAAGGTACAAGAAATCAAATGGGTTCTCAATGATGGTAACAACCCCATGTAATCATTATTCCAGGACAAAGTTTTCTTGGTTTGATCATATAGAAGAAAATTAGATTAAGGAACAAGGCTAGGCATTGCTTGATGCTCACTTGTTTCACCTTTTATTTTCAAGTGAATTCATGTGATAAATGTCATGTATACATATATCTTCTACATTTAAATATAATTAATTCTACATGGAAATACTAATAAAATTTATTAACTTTTTTAACGTTTAATAAAATTTTGAAATTTAAAATATGACCTACTAAAATAATTTGATTGGAACAAATCATGCTACAACCGCCAACAAGATTCTGTTTGGTTTTCAAACTCAACAAACTCTAAAATTGTTTTAAGTAATTATTTTTTCATATTTTTTTGTCGAGATTTTTTTTCCTTCATATTTTAGTCAATTTATGTTTTAAAACTTTTTAGATGTATTTATTCTAAATGCACCAAAAAATTAAAATATTTCCAATAACTTACTTCTGAAATGTATCTAAATAGTAAAAATATTTGACTAAAATATGAAAAATTCACTAAAGATGGAAAACACCAGGAAAAAAAATTGTAATGTAGTTATAGCAAAAGTGGGTTGTCCTACATGGTTGCAATCACATGTAATCATGTTGCAAGGCAAATAGATTTCTTGTTTGATCTTGTAATAAAATCAAGGTTTAAGGAATAAAACTAGGGAATTGTTTGATGCTCACCTGTTGCAGATACATAATAGAAAAATGAGTTTGCTAATCATTGAAAATTCAGACCTCCCTTGGTGTCTTGATCTTTGATCTCCTTCCTAATAAGACAAGATATAGTTGTGGTTTTAGGGTAATAAACAACAGCACTATTAAATACAAGCAAAGTTCAACCAATGTGATCATTGGTCAGGGATCATATGATTATATTATCTAGCTGAATTTGGATATTGAACACACTTTGAAAAATCAGATTTAAAATTTTTAATGATATGATATTGCCTTGGGAACCAAGAAGGATAATTGTTGCTGGTGGATGGTATTAAAAGTTCAAAACCCTAGTGCAGAGAGGGCCCGAAATATTTAAACCATTCTTTGGATTAGTTTCTAAGATAACAATCATTTATAGAACAAAGTAAAGTATATTAAAGTGGTATGCCACTTCCCAAATTAAGTGCCGTTTGTTTTAATATTGTGTTTAAATTTTAGAATTGTCAATGATAATAAGAGAAATAAAAGAAATTTATACATATTCATTTTTTTTATGAGTAATCAAACCAAGAAAATTTGGTTTCTTTTTGTGGTTTATTGGCGAAAAGTTCATTCTTATGGGGCCATAGGTTATTTAATCCAAGGTTTAATCTTTTTTTGGTGATAGGAACAACACGCGTTGAAAGTTGTTAGAAAATTGATAAAAAAAGTTGCCCGCAACGACTGGTGGCAATGAAGTGAACAAATTGATGACATGGAACAGTAGATAAGTGACATGCATATAGATAGATGGATATTTGAACAGATAGTTGGACAGAAAGGTAATACATGTACATATAGGTGACATTTCAACGGATAGACAAATAGTTAAACTTTAAACAGATAGTTGTTCTTTTGGACAAATAATATCCTTTCGGCCCAAAAAATACTTAAGCTTGGGCCTATTGTCCCTGACAATTTTAGAAATGAATGTCTCGATTAAGTACTCTATTTTTTTTTTTAAATAAAAACTATTTATTTTCTTAAGAACTTAGTTTTTTCATTTTATTTTCTTTCCATATCATTTACTTTTTCTTTTTATTCTCTTTTTCGAATTTTCCTTTGTATTTTCTACCAATACATGTACAAAAGTATTCTGTTGGGCCCTTGACCAACAAGTTGTAGTAAAGTGGAGACTTGGACTGAGCCCAACATGAATTATTTTTATTTTTATACATATATTTTTTTAAGAGCCCAACCCTGTCAGTTTCTTCCCAGATCTATTGTCAAGCAATTTGTTAGAGAATATTATACAAATATATAAATCTCAAGCTTTATTTTATTTTATGTTTTTGTCGAGTAATGACTACATTCACAAAATTAAACACTGAAAAGTATCAAAATGTACATCTTAGTATAACGAGGCCCACTTGAGATATTCTCATTTGCTAGTCTCAAATTTTTTACTGGAAATATGACTTTTGAGTGCTATTGGAAAATGACTCCAACAATGAATAACAAGTTATTTTAATTTAAGGTAATGATTTCAATACATTCAAATTTATAGGGATTAATTATATCAAGACCCCTTCAACTATTAACGAATATCACTTTGATCCCTTCAAACCTATGCATTTTGACCCTCTTAACTATAAGCATATATCACTTTCACTTCTTCAGACCAGTTTCAAAAGAGGTGTGTCTATAAGCATAATTATATTATTTTCATAGTTGAGGGGGTCAATATATAGGGGTTTATAGATGAGGGGGTCAAAGTAATATTTACTAATAATTGAGGGATCTTGATATAATCAACCTGTCATAACATATACATAAATAAATATGTAAAAGTGAATTTTTTTAATGATAATTATATCTAATAGTTATTCTTTAGTAATTGTTTTGCCTGAATTACTAGTTTTAATTGCAGCTATGCTATCTGCACAGAAGGCATAGACGTGACTGATTCCTCATGTGTACATAGACTTTTTCTGTTGATTGCTATTTGAAACACAATTGAAAGATCTCACTTTAATTGGACATTCAAAAGCACCCAAAAAGTTTTCTTTTGTCACAAACATAAGGTAACAAGAAAACTTGGAGAAGAATAACTTATAGATCATTAAAGCATTAAAGTGGCAACATACCTTCAATCCAAAATTATGATGTTACTGTGTTTTCTCTTTCTCCTCCTTGCTTTCCTCAGAATCCTTTCACTCTCTTCCTTAGCATCCGCCATTGAATAGTTACCTATCTCTCCCAAAAAGAAATACGGGTTTAGACCCGTGATTGTATACAAATACAAGGTGAATCCATTTCGAGAAATTACATTTCCACATGCAATAGAGTAGGAAAAGAATGAAACAACCCCTTGGAATAATTTTTTCTTTCATTTTCTTTACGTATCTAAAAAAGTTTTGCTAGTTCTCAATATAGCACGTGCTTTTGTTTCTTGTACTTCCACGATCTAAAATAGGGAAAAAAATGTTACAGAAATATTCATGAGTGTCTAAAGCGTGTATGTCACTAGGTGCAGGATTCACCTAATCCCCAAATCTATTCTTTAAAATAAATCAAATACCCATGTAAATCTTGCCAACTAAACAAAAAAGGAGGGAAAAAGGCAGACATTTAAATATACAGTTTCATCTCCTGTCCTCCCCCAACACTGGAGTTTGGACTGATCTCTACCTATTTAAAACACAAGCTATAACGATAATCTAACTATACAAATTACTTTCAAACATTAAACTGAGATCTAAATCACTTGATCCACACCGATCACATATCATTGAATACTAGAACAAGGAGAGCACATGACACATTGACACACTTCAGGTACAAAAAAATAATAATTTAAGACTGAGATACATATATATATATATATTTTAATAATTGGTTACCTGTTTCCTTTTCTTCAAGCAAGCAAGAAAACCCGCTATCTATCTCCTCATCAGATTCAATAGGAATTCTCCATTCTCTCTCCTGCATCATCGACCATCTCAGTTTTAACATGGAAAACAAGATATATACTGATTGAAGTATCTATGGAGTTTTCAAAATGAGAAATCAACTAAGTCCATGTTTTTGTAATGTCAAAAAAAAAAAAAAAATAGAAAGAAAGGAAGTAAGAGCAAAAAGAAAGAAAAATGAATTGAGATTTACCAGTTCAATGGGAGTTGGTCTCTTCTGTTTATGCTCCTTACTAGGGCCCACATATTTAAAAAAAGCTTGATCTGTTTTGACAGAGGTCCACCTTCCCAATTCTATCTTTGGAACCAGAGTTGCTTTCCCATAAACCTTTGGATGTACTTCGGGGCTGGAATGAAGAAGAATATTTTTAGCTACTTGAAAGGATTGAGGCAACAATAACTAAACCAGTACTAAAAAATAAATTCGAAAAGTGATGGTACTCACTCTAAAGGACTAAAAAGAAAGCTAGGCATCACTTGATCTTTGCAAAGGCAAATGGTTTGAAGGGTGTCCTATCATTAACTCAAAGGAAAACGACTAGAAGGGTATACTATCATTACCTCAAAGGCAAACAGCTTGAAGGTTATACTGTCACTAACTCAAAGGCTATATAAAATTCCACTTGTAAAACATTGTTTCAAATTTACTCTAAATGAAAGAGAATAGTGTAATCTAGCAAATAGAAAATTGCCTTTGAACTTGCGAGGAGATTACCGCATGTAGAGAGTTGTGAGAATTGACAATAGTTCATTTGTTTAATCTAACAGAACAATATAACAAACAAGTGTTATGAACATACTTCTTGAGAGATGGTTTTTGCTGTGGAGTAGCTTGACAGCTTATGCCCTACAAAATTTGAAAATGAAAGGTAGATGAAGAACATTTTTTAAAGGATAGGTCTCTTAACAGGCTGATAAGTAGTTCTTCCAACAAACAAACAAACAAACAAACAAACAAACAAAAAACACCACCTTTGCTGGAAGAACGGTGGGAGTTCGATGGTTTTGGCTAGGAATCTTCAAGCTGCAAACCATTGCCTGCAAGGTGAAAGCTGCAATATTTAGCAGAAAAAAACATAATTCAACACTTTTCTACCTCTTCTCAACGACGGGAAAGGATACTAATCATGATTTCATGTTCACAATTGTTCCAGGACTATGTATTTAATATGCTACATGCCTGCATTTCTTGGGTGACAGACTTGCAGAGCTCAGATTTCAATTTTTGTAAACACTCGTTAATCTGCTCTGGTAAAGCTGATATCACTGAAGAAATCTCCTGTAGCCTTGCTTGGTATATGTCCTGTCTGACTTGATCAGAGAGAGATTTTAATCCCCCTACTAGGTTAGTTTTGATATCTTCTTGTCCCTTGTTCTGTATATTGTTTCGCAATTGTGTTAGAAAATCTGCATCATCGACATCTAAAACAAAAAGGAAGTTCAAAAGAATTTATGGGGAAGGGTATGGTGCTCTTACTATTAGCTGCGCCAAGTTATCATTAGCAATCAACTTCTGCTGTAAGACTTCCACTGAAACAAAATTGAAAAAAGGATGATAACAGCTAATTGGGCACAATTTTTGAGTTGAATCAAGAAGTAATTTGTCAAATGTGAGTTTTAGACAATTGATTAATATTCACTTGGCAAGCCAAACCAAGGATATTTATTTGTTCATCATAAAAAAGTATGCCTAAATTTCAGTTCTTAATACTTGAATAAAAAAGACTTGGAGCCACTTTGAGAACACAAAAGTAATCAAGGACTCAAATGTTTTTTAGAGATTTGATGTACCTGGTCACGGCCAACTAACAACTGATTGTAGATAAGTGTATATCAAACAATAATTAGCGAACCAAGTAATTGCCACTCTAACTCCTATATACCAATGTATTTTTGGCAATCGAGATTTGAGACACTTACTCTCCATTAATACTTCCTTCGTTCCCTTGTTTACTTGCATGATATCGCTCTGAACAGAATCCAAGATCATTCCAAACCTGTTCAATGAAGTTTCCATAATTCCAATTCTGCGTTCTAGTTCTTCACTTACCTGACCTGTGAAGGCATACCCATGCACAATGACACAAGATTAATTGGCCCATTAGTTTTGTAAAGACATAGAAAAAGGTAAAATACTTTACAATTTAAAATTTTCAATGTGAAATTAAACATTCTGAGCTTCTTTCAGGTCTTGTTTGTGAGAATGAAATTCATAGATTTGAATAAAAAAATAGACTGATATGGCTGTAACTTACTTCTGTGATCTGGAGCAGCAGTAGAGTTCCATTTGCGCATCAGATTGTTGGAAGACCTTGAGATTGGCATTTGACTCTCTTCTCGCGTGTAGCTGATAGCAGGCAAGCAAGACATCTTCTTTGCTGAGTTCTCTCTTTCTTGAGAACCAATCCTCTACAAAAGCAACATAGGATAAACAAATGTTCAAAGAGGAAAACCATGACCATTAAATGGCAAATACAATTTTCTTTTTCATTTCTTATTCACAATTGGAAAACCAGGCACTCAACCAAAGACTTTTCTTTCGGCAACCTCTTTCATGAACAAGAACCAAAAACTATTAAAACAGTGAAACTCAATGGTGAGTGAGTTTCTTCTTTTCAGAACTAGAAGTACATAATGCATTTTCTTGAAGATGCTCTATGATGACAGATGCAAAGTTATGCAAAACAACTTCCAAGAATGAAAGCAGAGAAAAGAAATAGCGCAAAATATTTGAGAAATAGAGAACATATAAGAAAAAGGTTCACATAAATGTCATGCAAGTGACAAATGTGACAGAAACTACCATTCGAAGATCACAAAGAACACAAAGATTTTATATAACTCAAAGCAAAACAATGTGAACAGAAAGTAAGGCTGTGTATAATCCAATTTTATTCCCAAGTTTTTCTAACTTGAAGTTGCAAATTTTCCTAATTTTAGTTAATTTTAGTTGTCCTTGGCAGTATAGCATGGCCAGTGGCGGACACAGGGGTGGCTGGCAGGGGCCACAGCCACCCCAAAAACTTTTGGGAAATTGCACTTTTATCAAGCAATTTGAATATCTATAAAAGAACTTTGCATTTTGACCCCTTCAAAATTTATACAATTGCTTCAAGCCTTCCAAAATCTAAATAATTTTACTTTTGATGTCCTAAATTTTAAAAAATTTCATGATTTTCATGCAATTTTTAGTAATTATAAAATAAATTTGTATTTTAGCCACCCCAAATCTTTGAAAAATCTCATTACTTTCATGTATTTTAAGTATTTATAAATTTGATCCCAAAAATTTATGTAATCTCAGCCAAGGCAAAAAATGAAGAGTTTCAGACTTCTAATAACAGTGAAACAGTAAGTCAGGAAACAACAAATTCAGAATAGTAGAAAAATCGAAGAAAACTCATACATAGCCATTTAAAGAAAAAAAAAAAATCATTACAACAAAAACGAAATCAAATATCTTCTGCAATCAATGTTCAAAATCTACTCCACAGTATCAGAAACGGATGTTTGTTTACTACACAAGCAAGCATGGTTAAAGACTCTTTGAATTGAGATCTTAACTACTAAATCATCACTAGCTTAAAGAGAGAGAGAGAGAGAGAGAGAGAGAGAGAGAGAGAGAGAGAGAGAGACCCGATCGTTTGTGACGAACTCGTCGAGAGAATTCTGCGAGAGCTGAGAAAACGTTCCATGTTGAGACGAAACTCCCTGCGAAAATGACTGTTGCGATGGCTGCGAACGAAGCTGAGACGCTTGGTTTTTTCCAAACACCAAGGACTCAGGACCACTCTGTACATTGCTCGATCTCCTTTCAAATCAAACGACACAAATATAACTACAACACTGATATCATAAACATATACATACACACATATATGTGCATTAAAACGTAGTTTTTGAAAAGATTTTTGCGATGGAATTGAACCTTGCGTGAGGAGGAAGAACTGAAATGGAGCTAAGATCGCAGGCTTTGTTGATCTTCAACTTCATTGAATCGAACAACCAGTAGTTGAGATCTTCGAGATTTGATGCGAACCGTGGCTGGTTTCGACGAAGAGATTGACAATGGAGATCGAATTGGTCGGTTGAATCGTTTGAAGCTTCAAATTCTGACTCGGTTTTTGTATTCCAAGTGTTTGTGTTAAGCTCTGTTCGAGCTCGGCAAAGGACGAAGCGTGGATGGAGTGAGATCAGAGATTCTCGTCACCATATTCATGTACCAACTTCGTGTGAAAAATAAGCGGGAAATGGGCTTTGTGATGGGCTCAGTTCAGCGACTGGATGGCTCAACATCGTGGCCCAGTTGTTTGGCCCAACGGTTCATTTTACAAGTTACTTTGATGTATATCATTTATAAAAAAAATAAAATAATAATAATAAATTAATCAGTTCCGATTCGTAACTCGAAATTAGAGTGGCTCGAATGGCCCGACATCAAAATAACGTCGTTTTGATTTTTTTTTTCCTGCATTTTTCTGCAGATTTTTATGAAGAAGAATAAAAAGAAGAACATTTTTTTGCAGATTTTTATGAAGAAGAATAAAAAGAAGAACATTTTTCTATAGATTTTTCTGATGAAGAAGAAGAAGAAGAAGAAATGCAGAGAAAACAGAGTATCTTCATCAACACATCATCAACAACATCATCATCATCAACAAATTTTTTTTTTTTTTTTTTTCATCAACACATCATCAACAGCATCTTCATCAACACATCATCAACAGCATCTTCATCAACACATCATCAACAGCATCTTCATCAACACATCATCAACAGCATCTTCATCAACACATCATCAACAGCATCTTCATCAACACATCATCAACAACATCTTCATCAACATCAACATCATCATCATCATCATCAACAACATTTTTTCCCCCCTCATCTTCAGATCCAGATCAACTAGAAAAAAAAAAAGAAAAAAAAAAGTAGAGTTTGAAAGACGCGATACCCATCGACGCCGCCACCGGTAGAGAGAGAGAGACGCCACCTTCTCTTCATCTTCTCTTCCTTCTCTTCTGTCACGACCCAAACCCGGCCCTATGGGTTTAGCACCGTAACCGGCCAGTAATCCGAGATTACCGAAGGCCTGCTTAACAGAAATACAGTAACAATTCAAACCCTCTTTCTAATTGAGATGATAACTTGAAAAAAATCAAACCCATTTTAAGGGTTTTAACCCTAAAATTAGACTTGACTAAATTGTTAGGGCCGTTGATAAATGAGTCACCGTGATTTTTAACACCATTTTCTTTTCATGGCACTTAAAATTGAGACTTCCAAAGTTTTAAATTTTTTAAATATACATAGGTTTAGTGGATTTAGAAAATAAAAACAATACTTGAAACAAAAAAAAAAAGAAAAAAAAAAGTAGAGTTTGAAAGACGTGATACCCATCGGCGCCGCCACCGGTAGAGAGAGAGAGACGCCACCTTCTCTTCATCTTCTCTTCCTTCTCTTCCTCCTCTCTTCTCTCTTCCCTTCGCTCTCTCGCCTCTTCTCTCCTCTGTATGTGAAAGCAACTGAAGCAAGAAAATTATCCACCAAAAAAAACTGAAGCAAGAAAAAGAAAAGGAAAGAAAGAAAAAAAAAATAGCCATTCGAGCCACTATCGAGCCGCATTTCTCGAGCTACAAAATATTATTGTAAATTAATTACACTTTATCATCTTGTAATTTAATTCAAAAACACATTACCCTCTTAAAGTTCAAAAAAGGTACATTTTACCTTCTTGTGTTTTGGACTAAAGTGAAAAAGTAACATAATTTGAAAAAATTCTATTTTCACATACCTAGTTAGCTCAGGGCACACACTTAATGAAATATTAATTTAATGATAATTATATCCTAAATAAAAATAATCATAATAGACATCCAGTAACATCTGTAATATTATATAAAAAAATTCTCTGCACATATCTTTTAAGAACAATAAAATCTCAATATACACATTTTGAGTTAAAAAAAGTAAACCCTAGTTTTTCCATTATTGTCACATTGCTTGTTATACACTTTATACTCCTCTATTGCTTGCACAATACTCTCAAAATATCTCTTATATTGTTTTAATCTCTAGATTTATACTCTATCATTTATATCGTTTTCGTATTATAATTCCACAATTTTTACTTTATTTTGATATGGAAGAGTTGCAAACTAATGGAAGATAACACTCAAGCAAAAGATAAACAACTCAACATTATGAATGCACCCATTCGGATTTATCCATGTAAAATAAACACTCTAGACAAATTTCACAAAATAGTACAGAAATTCTCAAAGACAAAAAAAAAAAAAAAAAGAGACAAAAATAATACTTGAAACTGTTTTGTATTTTTTTTTTCTGTCTTTATTAACTAAATTCCTTCATCAATCTGCATTCTTCAATTATTATTTTTTTTACTCACTATTCTTTATTTTTTCTTCACCCCTCTATTTCTTTTTCCTTTTCTTTTCTTTTTTCCTTGTACTCTTCTCTTACTTTTTTTTTTCTTTTTTTTAATTAAGCTTGAGTGGCCTCCGTTTTTTTTATTCTTTTTTTTTTTTCCTTTGGAATGCCCACAATGAATGCCTCTTTCTTCTTTTTATCATGCAAAGAAAGTGGGCAAGTGGGTGGTTTAAAATCTCTTTTCCTTGCAAACCAGAAAACTATTTTTAGCAGATTTTCTTATCTTTTGGGAACATCATATTAATTGTGTGTCTTCCTCTCCAACATTCCCCTCCCCCCCCCAACGATCATTCAACGGTTTATTTAAAGACCACAACTAGTATTAATGATCATTCAATAGAGTCTCTTCAATGGAATGGAGGTCTTTAATGGGGTCTTCAATGGAATGGAGGTCTTCAATAGAGAAGAGGTCTTCATTGTGGGTCTTCACTTTGATTGTTGTAGTACTGTGAGTCTACAAATTTCCAAACCGTAGCAATAGCAGTGTGTGTGGAATGAAGGACAAGTGTGTGGAATGATGGTTGAAGGGGTGTGTGTACAATGGTATGAGTGAAGGGTATAATTGATACATTTAGTTTGTAAATTGAGAAAATTAATTAATAATTAAATTATAAAGTGTGTGTACTGAGAAATTATGTTGATTGAGATAATTACGTGTGTAGAAATAGAATTTTCCTAGAATTTGTTGAACTTATCAACATGTGTCATCTACGGCTATAGCGACCCCGGTTTAAATTCGACTCATTGATGTTTTGGATCTGGGTTCATTGCCTTTTATGGTTATTCATGTCTTGCTTCTCCTCTTTGCTTGTTGGGGCTAGTTCTTGAGGCGTCTTGGTTGCATCGAAAGCATATTGGTGGCTTGTTCCTCAAATTGTTGATGCCCATAAATTTTCTTCGACGCTTGAGCGGAATTTTCGGCGCTCAAGCGGACATTTTGATCTTCCAGCACTTTTGTAGGATGGCAGAGTTCTGAGAGTTTTCAATCCACGTTTAAGCGGCCATTCTTGCGCTCGAGCAGTGCTCGAGCGGTGTTCGCTCGAACGACATTTCTTGTGCTCGAGCGGTAGTCGCCTATTTGTAAAACTTATGTGAGTTTGCATTCCACGCTCGAGCGGTGACACTTTTTTGTATCTGGATGCTCGAGCGTCACTTCTTCCACTCAAGTGGACCGTGTGTCTTTAAAAGGTCGCAGCACGCTAAAAAAGTTAGTTTTTGTTTTTCTCTCTCGTCTCTCTCTTCCTTTCCGCCATTGTTAGGGTTTCTTGGACCTAAAAGCTTGGGTTTCATTTAGTTACACCAATTTCCCACCCCTAGTCCTATAGATCAAAACGTAGAGGGTCGCAAGGGCTTCCTTTTGATCTGAACGGATCGTGTTTTCGTCACTGGTGGATTTTCGGCTTTTCTCCTCTTCACTTTAAGAGGTAAGGATTCTTGAGTTTCTCTTCAATACCTCTTTATAGATAGACTTGTGGTATTTTCATTACATTCAAAAGCATAGTTGGTGGTTGATTTTGTTAAAAATCACATGGTGGATTTGGGTTTAAAATGGTGAGTTTGTGGGTTTGTGTATAATTGGTTGTGGGTTACAAATCTTGTGTAGAATGTAAATGGGGAAGGTTTGGTTTATCGTTTATTGGTTTGGAATATCAAACAGAAGTTAATAATGAATAGAAATGGGGTTGTGATGTGGTAGTTTATGAAAAGTTGAGTTATTTGGGTTATTGTTGGTGGTCGTCGCCATTGCGGTGTCTTATTGGGATTTGGGGAAGTAAGGTTTGATTTTTAAAATAAAATGGAACAAATTATTTTTATAAACCTTGAGAGTTTATGATGAACATGATAGTGGGATTTCCTATGGGTTTAATTATTGTCTCAGATTATGTGATTGACATGTAGAGTTTGTCCTCGGCCATCGGTGGAGGGTGGTATTGATTGTTGTTAGATATATTCTATGTGCACTATCGTAGGATGGACTTTGTGATTCGAGTTGATGTGCTTGTTGATTGTAAATGAACATTGTGAATGGATAATTCCATTGTTAAGTCATGGACTTGTGGTAAAGAGGTAGTTGCATCGTTGTAATTGTTGTCTCCGTTAAGAGACTATTGTTGAATAGTTGTGGTCTTGATGTATAGCACCCCATGATGTGTTTTTGAGATGTTTGAAAGAAAGGAAAACCCGTTGGAACGGTAGTTCATGAAGTACTTTTAAAATAGAAATGAGTTAATGTAATTAACTGAAAATGATTGTTATAACGATCATCGGACTAGGTGTATGTATTACGCCTCGTATTATTGATGTTGGTTAGCATGATTATATTTGATTGTGATGATGTTTAGGGGTCTGTTACCCGTCGTATCATACTCGGCAAAGCATGACACCTTGACAGAGGTTTCCTTGTCCCTTTCGATTTGCGCCGATAAAGTGTGAAAAGGAGGTCCGTTTCCCGTCGAATTATAGCTAGAAAAGCGTGGCGCGTTATGATAGGTTCTTCGTTCCCTTCCTATTCGTACCCAGTAAAGTATTACCTGAGGAACACCTCTTTCTGGGTGAGGCCGGTAAAGTGTTATGTGTTACAAGTATTATTGAATCTGCCAATCGTGTTGTAGGCTAGTGGAGATGGAATTGATAGTATGTATTACTTCAATTACCTTGTTTTGGATATATATATATATATGTATATGAGTGTTGTCGGTTTGCCTATTGTGGAGATGAGATTGGTAGTATGTATTACATTA